AGGTATCAGTTGAACACAATGTTTTCATATATTTACAATTTTAAAGCAATTTGGAAGCTTTACCAGTGCTTCAATCACTATAATAAAATAAATTCTAAATACCTGTGCATTTTGGCATTTGATTTTGGGTGTTTCATCATGGAAAATCAGAGCTTCCCCTGTCCCCTTCACACACCGGGATGTGGGTCCAGCTGTGGCTGTCCCCGTTCCACACTATGTGGTGCTGAGCAGCTGGTGCCCTGCTCATACCATTGCCCCTCACTCCTGACCCATAGCCCCCCAGCCCTGCTGCCACTTGTGGGAGGCAACAGCTGGTGCAGCAGAGCAGAGCATGGAGCCCCCCTCCCCCAACCGGCTTGGGCAGCACAGCAGAGCAGATCCCGTGGGTGGGAGAGGATGCAGGCTGCCCTGTGTGGGCTTGGCACTCCTTGCCCTTGCTGGGCTCCCTGCAGGGCCACCACAGCCCAGTGGGTAGGTCCCAGCATAGCATGGCACAGCAGGGCCAGATGGGGAAGCTCACTGCTGCTGCTCTGAGCTTCATGACATGGTGCCTCCTGCCCACCTGGCAGCAGTGAGGGACACAACTCTGTGCTGCCACCACTGCTGCTGCCAGGTGGGCAGAGGCACCTTGTCAGGGCACTGTGGGACTCGTGGCGGTGGCATGGAGCTTCCCTGCTCCACTCTGCTGTGTAGTGCCAGGTCTCACCTGCTGGGCCCAGAGGCCCTGGAGGGAGGGCAGCAGAGCAGGGAAACTGAGCCTGCAGTGGGCAACCTACCCCCAACCCCACGCACATATCTGGGGGGCATACGCCATCAGTCCTTCCCCCTCCCCACACCCGGGAAAGAGTCTTAAGCAAGGAAGTCTACAATAGAACTAGGGCTGATGAACAAAAGCAAGTAGCTCCTCATTTGGTGTAAACAGATGTACCTTCATTACTTGGGTGGAATGATGCCTATTTGTGCCCTCTGACACCTGCGCCTTTGTCTGCCATAAGATAGGAGAAAACCCTAGTTATTCAAGAAGGAAAGTGTATCTTTAACAGGAAAGTTAACACTATAACAAATACAAATCTGAAATGCATTCAGTCTTTTTTTTCTTTAATTTTGAGCTGTGAATTTTTCATTTTGATTTCTGAGATGCTGGATATTTTGTGGGGAGGTCAGTGAATGTCGCTTATTTTGTTTCAGGTTAACAAGTGGTGGAATCGCCTGAGTGAGGGTCAGCGGACTGTGACAGGTTTGTGTTAGCTTACAAGTATTAGACATTCAAAGGAAAAGAAATATGGCAAACGGGTATAGTATGTCACAATAGATGGCTTTTGTACCATGATTAGATTGTTAGTCACAAAGCAAGTCTATATATACATACAGATGTTTTCATTCATCTACCTGCATCTGCTATGCTTCCCTACTTACAGAACACACTTTTGTATTTTCATTTAAAATTTCCGTCTCCCTTGTGGGAGATGGCAGACAGAGTTTTCCAAAATCTGCCTTCTGCCACTTGTATGCAAGCAGAATTTGGACATGTGAACTGGTAGCATCTTTCAGAGAGCATATCTCTTACTATTTATTTAAAAATGTATGCCATTGCCAGAAACTTAAAAAGACTTGAATATTATTTGTTGTCCTTCAAGTTCTCAGCTTTCTCATAAGATGTAAATTTGTTTTGAATTTTAGGAGAAAATGGTTACACAAATATTTTTTCTGAAACATTTTACCATCCAACAAGAAACATACAGTTTTATCCATCAAAACCAGAAGAAATTTCCTATTGTAATCTTTCGATGATGTGCTGAAACATAAATGCAACACTTATAAATTGTTACTCTGCATACAGTGTTACAAATTCTGGCTATCTTCGTTTATCAGATTTTGTTACATAATACACCTATATTTACACTATTCTTTAAGAGGATTATGTGAAGCCTGCTTAGTATAGAGTTATTGAAATCCTCATGATATTTGGACGTAAATCAAGTAGATAATCATCTTAAAGAGAAAAAAGTAAATGAGAGAGTCTACCAAAGAAATTCATATAAAATATATAGTGTTAGCTACACTGTACATAAAACATTACTGAATATATGAACAAATTTCTTTTAATTGTATTGGAGCCTAAGAAATTAGGCTCCCCATTTATCATAATGATTCTATAGAAAAATACATCTTTCAGGAAAATATTTCAGTTGTCTTAAGCCATTTTTCTAATTTTCTTCAAAAGATTGGTCACAGTCTAAAAATAACATGCACTAAATAACTAGGACTGTAGCTGCATTTTATAAACTAACCAACTGGTTGTTGGGTTCAGTTAGCTGGTTTGATCCAGTATTTTGGACTGCTTCTAATATCCAGCCCAGGCATTTGTATTCCTACTCAATACTATAGCGGGAAATGTCAGGTAGAAGATTATTAATCTCTGTAGTTTTTGTGTTTAATCTCCCACCATATAGTTAACAGGCAGTATAAATGTTAATTAACTAGAATACATTGAAAACTTTCAAATATAGCTGTGTTTCACCTGTTGACCAGTACAGGGTTGGAATTATTTTGCTAAAAATCTCTTGCCAAGGGCTTCTGTGGCTTCTTTTGTTAAGCACATAGAGAAAACCTTTTAATAAGAAAACAGCATAGAATAGGACAGACTGTCAAAACTATAAGCAGCTCAGAGAAAGTAGATTATACTAATTCTAAAAGGAGAATTTCAACTAAAAAATATCTGGTGAGGGAAGGGGGGGCACTTTCATGCCTTTTTATCCTGAACCTTTCAAATTGTTCATGAAAACAAAGAATTTAAACTTCTAGAAGGAAAATGCAGTTATCTTCTCCCTCTGCTCCAAATATTTAACCTTTTAAAGTTTTAAAACCTCTATGCTCACCAGAGCTGAAGTGATATTTTAGTTCACTAAAAGACACTTGGACACATCGAGGACTTAAACTTTCATCAGTCTGTTTCCAGCCACTTAGTTTTTTATTTAAGTCATAGTTTCATAGTTGGTAGGGTCGGAAGGGACCTAAGCAGATCAAGTCGGACCCCCTGCCATGGGCAGGAAAGGATGCTGGGGTCAAATGACCCCGGCTAAGTAATTGTCTAGCCTCCTTTTGAAGACCCCCAGGGTAGGGGTGAGCACCACTTCCCTTGGAAGTTGGTTCCAGGTCCTAGCCACCCTGACAGTGGAGTAGCACCTCCTGATGTCTAGTCTGAATTTACTCTCAGTCAGCTTATGGCCATTATTCCTTGTTGCTCCCAGTAGTGCTTAGGGCAACAGGGACTCTCCCAATGCCTGCTGGTCCCCCTTGGCAAGTTTGTAGGCGGCCACCAGATCCCCTCTCAGCCTTCTCTTGTGGAGGCTGAACAGGTTCAGGTCCCGTAGCATCTCCTCATAGGGCCTACCCTGTTGCCCTCTGATCATGCGAGTGGCCCTCCTCTGGACCCTATCGATGCTATCTGCATCCCTCCTGAAGTATGGCGCCCAGAATTGGACACAGTACTCCAACTGCGGCTTGACCAGTGTTGCATAGAGGGGGAGGATCACCTCCTTGGACTTGCTTGTGATGTATCTATGGATGCATGACAAAGTGCAGTTAGCCTTCCTGACTGCATCCCCACATTGGTGGCCCATGTTCATCTTGGAATCAATAGTGACTCCAAGATCCTTTTCTGCCTCTGCACTGATGAGAAGGGAGTTCCCCAGCCTGTAGGTATGCTGCTGGTTCTTCCTTCCCAGGTGCACTTGTCTGTACTGAAACCCATCCTGTTCTCATCTGCCCACCCCTGTAACCTGTCCAGATCTAGTTGTAGCCTGTCCCTCTTTTCTAGCGTGCCCACTTCTCTGCACATCTTAGTGTCACCTGCGAACTTGAACAAGGTGCTTTTCACCCACTCGTCTAAGTCGCCAATGAAGATATTAAATAGTGTGGGCCCGAGGACCGAGCCCTGGGGGACTCCACTGCCCACGTCAGGTTCATAGAATCAGTGAGTTGGAAGAGACCTAGACAGATCCTCTAGTCCAACCCCCTGCCATGGGCAGGAAGGAGCACTGGGGGTGGCAGGGGTCATAAGACTCCAGCCAGGTGCCTATCCAGTCTCCTCTTGAAGATTTCCAGGGAAGGTGAGAGCACCACCTCTCTGGGAAGCCTATTCCAGGCTCTGGCCACCCTTACAGTGAAGTAGTTCTTCCTA